CAGTACAATACATTTTTTGGATGCTTGTTAAGTCTGGAAAAAGCAAAACTCAAGCCCAAGATTACTTAAAGGTGCTTTGTTATGTCTTTCTCGAATAGCCAATGCTCGCTCTTAGTTCATTGACTAAATGGCTTGTCACTTACATTTGGCTCTGTTTCAGGGTACCCAAACACGAGAAAAAAATGAGTTACTTAGCCAGCAATTTGGAATTGAGTACAATTCATTACCTGTAATCTTCCGCCTGGGGTCTTCCGTTTTCCGCCTAAAGGTGCTACTTATATCATCAATAATCAGTATAACTTAATTTCAAATTTACTTTCATAGCAGTTTCTTATTATAGTGAAGAAAAGAAGGGTCCTTCTCTCTTTTGTCAGTTTTGAGAGAAACCTTTTGAGGTATTCTTGTGAATTAAACAAGTGGTGTGAATTAATTTTTACATTTAGACGCAGGAAGGTGTTGCAGAGGAGAATGGAGAAGTTTCAGGAAAGCAAGTGGAAGCAGAAGTGGTTGTAGACTACTCTAACATTATCGACCAATGTTTCTGGCAACAACATCCTCACATTCTTAGCTGCTCCTAACACAAAGGTATTCATTGCTACCAAAAAATCCAAAACGATAACCGAATGAGCTCTTATTTTGATAAACCAGAACTGAATTAATGAATTACAAAAAAATTGAACCGGATGGTTTATTTTTCTACTTTCACTATTTTTTTTCCATTATTTAAAATTTTAACTTATTTTAATTTGGCAGCTAATTTTCCTTTTGACTGGTAAGGAGGAGAAATATTTAGTGCTTTTCTTTTTTTTTGGTAAAGTAAGATTCGTCAAAATAGATTGACTAAAATGATAAAAGGGGTAAATAAAATCTCTTCAAAAAATTTTGACTGATATCCGTCCAATTAAGGTAAGTTCGTGAATTTGCATACCAAATATTTGGATATGATGATACTGCTTCTTCTTGTGTAGACTTTGACCCATAAACCTCAAAATATTCTTTGAATTCTGGCACCTTAATAAAAACTTTGACCCAAAATGAGAGATTGGGTTCTTGCCTAGTGAATGATTAAAATCTCATTCCAAGTACAACAATATTTTAATTAATTATCCTCTTTTTTTTTAGTTAATTTGTATTTATAACACCTAGGTAGATTTTCTCTATTCATTTAAAGAAAGTTGGTAAATTACAGCCATAATTAGTAGCAGAATCAAAGAGATTTTAATTATTAAGAAACTTTTGAAATATACAATTAATATTTGATTTCTTTCGTTCCTTTTTCACCATTTTAAATTAATTAAATAAAAATAAGCGTTACCTCCGTCGACGATCAGACGATTCTGCCATAGTGCCATTGTTATACCTTTGGCTTAGCTCGTAACGTTTCTCTCTCTCTCTGTCTCTCCCTCCCGTTCCACACTACATTCGCCGTCCGTCAGAATCTTCGAATTTACCAATTCCGCCACTCACTCCTCCTCGATCACTGTCGTGAAATGGAGCTGAAGCCGGAGGTTCAATCTGGAGAGGAATTTGTCCACATCGATGACCCAAAACCTTGCAGAGATTTTTTGTTAAGCGAAAACATAGTGAATGTGGAGGAGGAGCTTCTCAGGGAGGAAGAAGATAGCAACGCTAGTTCAGTGATTACTGGTGACGATTCGATCGGTGAAAGTGGTGATGATGATATCTGTTCGATCGGTGAAAGTGGTGATGATGATATCTGTGGTGTAGCGGATTATGTTGAGTGTGCGTTTGAGACGAAGACGGAGAAGTTGGAGCTGCCTGAGGAATTTGCGAAAAGCGTTATGGTTCTAACGTGTGAGTCCACAGTTGAAGGTGGATCTTGTGATGTTTACTTGGTTGGCACTGCTCATGTAATCCACAGGTATCCTCGTTTTTCCATAATCAGGAATTTTGAAAATTGGTGACTGGATTCATTTATTTGTTGAAATGTTGGATAGTGATGCAAGGATTTTGAAAATGAAGAAATTCATCAACAGATAAGGTAGCCATTGTGC